CTGACAGAAATAGAAACAGAGAGGAGACTAGAAATAGAACATTAGCGTTATTCAAATTAGGTTTTTTTCTTCTAAAATACTCACCACAAGAAAATTTCAGACACCAGGAAAACAATCTAAGACAATCCTCCAGGATAAAACCTTCGTAAGAACAATTCAAAACATATAAGAAAAAGTCCTAACACAAATACCATAAAAAACTATTGCTCCTCTACTAAAACATTCACTGCAAAAAGGTTCCAGACACCAGGAAAACAATCCATGACAATCCTCCCAGAGGAAAAGAATCGTAAAAAAACACACACATGGTATATCGCCCACATCTTTCTCTTTGCCTCACACACCATTTTCACATCATCAGCAGAAATTGGGAGAAGCGAGGAGCTGGATCGAAATTAATTCTCTTTGCAGGGGAGCCGGTGTGCTTGTACAACTCTTGATGGACGATCTTAGCACGCCGTTAAAAGCTGCGCGACAAACAGAGCGAGCACATAAACATTTAAAGATGGATGTGCCACCGTCAGCAGCGTGAGAAAGAGCCAGCTGTTTTTTACGATTTTATAATAGACTGCATTTTCAAGTGCTTTTTTGCTAATGTTGTTATTGTTATTTTTTAGGGTGTTTTTTTTTTCAGTGCTTTTTATTAGGGTGTCCTTTTTGAGTGCCCTTTTTGGTATCGTTTTTTTAGTGCGTTTGAGTGCACGTGTAGAAAATAGCAAGGGAGGTAATTATAACAGGAGGAGGAGAGGAATGGAGATGTAAACAAAGACAGAAGGGTATGTAGTTTATTTTCGTGTGTGTGAGTGTGTGTGTGTGTGTGTGTGTGTGTGTGTGTGTGTGTGTGTGTGTGTGTGTGTGTGTGTGTGTGTGTGTGTTGGGGAGGGTGTTGCAATTAGTGTGATAAAAATAAGCGAAGAAGGGACGTAGAAGGAGAGGGAGAGATACGCAGAAATAAAAGTGAAGGGAGTGTGTATCAATTGACACTGAGAGGAAATGAAAGTGGAAACTGAGAAAGAGACGCAAATGTTAAAACAAGTAAATCGAAAGACAGGTTTTTATTCAACTAAGAAGATTTTAAACGATCTTACGCTCTGACTGAAGCCTTATAGGATTAAGGAATATGAGGAATGTATCCTATATATATATATATATATATATATATATATATATAGAGAGAGAGAGAGAGAGAGAGAGAGAGAGAGAGAGAGAAAGAAAGAATGTATGAGTGTGTGAAGGTTGAAGGCTAAAACTAGTGAATATGATCATTGATGTATCAATCTCACATCAGTAACTCTTAACACTCCCGCCTCTATTTTTGTATGATTTTCTCTCTCTCTCTCTCTCTCTCTCTCTCTATCTATCTATCTATCTATCTATATCTATCTATCTATCTATCTATCTCTTTCTATCTATCTATCTCTTTAAAGTTAAAGCGTAGCAGATCAATAGATAAGATGAAACAGTAAAATGTAGGGGAAAATAGAGTAATTCTGTGCCCACCTATTAGGTAATTCATATGATTTTAATGGCTTGACGATTCTGTTTGGCAGAACTTGGCCTAGTTTTTTTTATAGGAACTGTATTTGCCTGCTATTGCTGGAGGACCAGGCTGGAGGCGCTTGTACAGTGTTCTCCTGTTGATTTGTTCGAGCGCATTGTTGTTGACTGTTGTTTGCGTGAATGACTTTTATTTAGGTGAATTGTTGTTGGCTGCTCCTTAGGTGAATCGATAGCTGTTGTTCGGTTGAATTGTTTATGTTGATTGCTGTTGACTCTTGTTTACGTGAATTGCTGTTGACTGCTGTGTAAGTGAATCGATGGCTGCTGTTCGGTTGAATTGTTTACGTCAATTACTTTTGATTTTGTTTACATGAAGTGTTATTGACTGTTATTCAGGTGAATTACTGTTGAGTGTTGTTCACGTGAATTTTGACAGTTACTTAAGTATTTTTTTTAACTTCGCTTATGTGAATAGTTGGCTGATTTTTATATGAATTGTTGGCTGCTGAGAATAGCCATTGATTTTAAACTAGGTAAATTGCCGATTGCTGTTTCCATAAATTGATATAGACTGTTGTTTAAGTGAATGAGGATTATGAAACTACAGTCATTTAGTTTGTGCACATTGATCCAGAATTATAATGCTGATATTAACTGGGAAAACATGATGGAAAATAAGGTAGCTGGGGAGTGTTTAAATGTGTTACGTACGAACGGGGAAATCAATAACTTCGTTTGTGGATATTGGAGCCGAATGGGTTAGCGTTGCTTATACATTTAACTACGGAGAATAAATTTGTTGATACTGTATATTTCTTTTGAGAATGTTTGCTGTTATTATATATGTGTGTGTGTATATGGGTAGATGTATAGAGAGAAAGGTAAGGATAAAGAGGGAGACAGACGTACAGACTAAGAAGTGTTTATATAGATATATATACATATACATATACAATATATCAAATGTATGTACACATGTATATATATATATATATATATATATATATATATATATATATACATATACATATATAGGTATCTCAGTGAGACCTTCCATATCCCCACTTTTATAGGAAAGGGTTGAACCCAAATTGTTGAACTGATAAATTATCTCAAAAGGATTTTAATGTGCGCATTTAAGTTAAATCCCACGAAACCAAATATAATTATCCTGAATATTATATACATAATTCACCGTGAAAAAAAAATGTACGCCACATTAGCAAGACACAAAGAGACCTTGCAGCACACTCTTGGAACCGTGCCAAGTCCTCGGGTGCTGTGACGTCATACTGTTCTCCGTGGTGACGTCACAGTAGTGGGTGTCAAAGAGCACGTGGGCGAACTCCGGACGAGGAGGTGGGCGAGAAGTAGGGGATGGGGGAGGGTGATGAACGAGGGGGAAGGAGGAGAGGGCGATGGGCGAAGGGTAGGAGAAGTGAGGATTAAGGGACGAAGGGAAAGTGAGAGCGACAGGCGACGAGGAGAGGAAGTAGGGAGGAGAAGGAAGACGAAAGGAGCGATAGACGGGGGGAGAAGAGAGAAGGGGGAAGGGGCAGAGGGGGGTGGGGGGGAGTGACGGACGAAGCGGAGAGGGGAGGCAGGAGAGGGGGGGGAAGCGATGACCGACGAGAACGAGGATGGTGAACGGCGCTTGATGGATCCTCAGAGCTGCAGCGCCGAAAACGGACTCGGGTCTTCGTTAAGGATCCTGCGGCCGGTGGAAAGTCTTGGCATTGAGGGCAGAGGATGAGAAAGAAAAGGAAGGAAAGAAGAAAATACGGATGGGGAGGGATAAGAAGAGGAGTGAATGAAGAAGTAAAAAAGAAGAGGAGGGAGAAGAAGAAGGAGAAGATGAAAAAGAGGAAGACGAAGAAGTAAAAGTACAGAAAGAAAAGAAAGAGGAGGAGGAAGATAGAAAAAGAAGAAGAGATTCGAAAAGGAAAGGAGGAGAAAGAAGAAAATGAGAACGAGAAAGGAGTAAGAGGAAATGAAGAAGAGAATGTGCCGAACACATAGGCAGTCGAGGTGTGATATACCAAGTCAGCTTTATAAAGGCTGAAGATTCGCTGCGCCGTGTGATTCTCTTGAGGGAGGAGACAAGAGATTTATCCTTTCCTTTTGAGAGAGAACGGAAAACAAATACAGTACTTACCGGTAGCGTCCAAAAATATAAGGAGAGCTGAATCTCGGAAGACAATTTTCGAAAATTACTTTTATTGAAATATTGGATTCGAGTAGTTTTGTTAAAGGTCCAGAATAGAACGGAAATTGACATGATCGTACTGTACCGAATAACAACCGCGGCGTCACTTTTTTCCTGTTTTAAAATAAATATATGTAGATATTTTGGGGGGAAAGGCGAGCGTGGATTTTTTTTTTTAAATCCTAATTAACTAATACGGATGTAGGAACTAATTATGCCAGACCGAAAATTAACTTCAGGGTTCCACGAATTTCACTTCGTCTGTGATTTCTTTTAAAACTACGCGCCAAAAGCAAAGTTTACGTACCTTTGATCACATCTAGCTCTTCCCCGTAACTAGTGATGAGTTAGTGAAGAGCGCCGCGGGAAACTTAGCTGGCCATGCATGTGGCTTCTGCAATATTTCCAAGGGCCTTGCTAGCCTTCAGGAGGAAGATGAAGGCTAGCAAGGAAGATGAATGTGTGTGCGTGTGTGTGTGTATATATGTATTGTTATAGATGGACTAATTAGTGGCAATAATAAGTTTATTTGAATGTTACTCGTTGGTATATACATTTTCATTTCGGTATTCTTTATATAATTAAAGTCTATTAGGTGTTGAGATGACCCGGCAGAATGTTTAAACATGCACCTAGTAAAAGGTTTCGGAATCCGAACCGACCTTGGTTCAGGTGGCTGACTCGAGCTCACTCCTTGGCTGACTCGGACCGCACCGCCACCTGGCTTTTACTCAGCCATTCCGCCATATTGTTCAGCTCGAGTTTTGCGTGTCTCTGCCTGTGGTCACTCTCGGCTAAGTATATCATATTGTGTTTTACATATATTAGGATGTTTAGGTTAGGATTCTGTTTGGTTTTTCTCATCTATATATAATGTATTTTAAATGTACATAAAATAAATAGTAAATATAGTTATTTTGTTCATCCATGTGTTTACATTTTACCCGGACAAAAGTTTGAACTTGATATGGTCACCCGATAATACCCTAGACTTAATATGTGCCATAACAAATGGGGGCCTGACCGGGATAATCAGTGAATATAGTGATACGGTAAATATAGTTAATGGCATAGTGCATATTATACGTGAAACAGTGAATATTGTCAAAAAATTCTTGCAACTTATTATATTTTATAGTTCATATATTTTATAGTTCGAATGATGTCTGTATTTAGTAATGGAGATCAGTGCTGTCAGCATGATTGAGCAGACTTGTATCACAGTAACTTATTTATCGTAAGATTTTGATGTTGCGTACTTGGTAAGTTATTTTGAAGTTGCTTTGTGTTTAAC